TGGCAAAATATAAAAACTGAAAGAAAAAAAGGTAATAAAAAAATCAAATCAAAACAAAACGAACAAGCAAAAACCCTATGGAGCGCCATTCTTCTCTGAAATCCATGTGGTTGCCAAGAGTCAGTCAACTCCACAGCAACTGATTAGCTGGTTACCTTGTTTATGCCTCTGTTACTTGGGTCTCTGTTACTTACCCACTGCTGACCTTATATCCTAACTAATACAGTCATTGGTTGTTTCTGCTTCCCCACCCGCATCCTTCCTTCTGGGAATTTGATATCCAGTCCCTACGGCTTCACCCAAAATACTATTTCCTAAACTTCATTCATTCCTGTACCACTGTCAAGACTTCATCCATATCCTTGCATCATTATTTATAATCATTCTTTAAATTAACTTAATATTTCATGTAAATACATTTATTTTAAAATCAAATTATATTGCTACTGTAAATGGAAACCCTGTCACTCTTGCCATAGATAGAAGGTAACTCAACAAATAAAAAAAATAAAAACTAAGCCAAGTTTTTCACTTCTAGCGAGACGTGTCTGTGAAAGGCTCTAAGACTGAAGCCTGCTTTCTGTTTGGAAAAAAATAGTGTGGGAGGTGGGAAACAGTGGCATCACTAGGGTTGGTGTCATCCAGTGCAAGTAACTGATGGTGTCACCCGTCCCCATGGACCTCCTCCTGTACCAAGATCATACAGAATCCTTAGTAATGTTTTTTGTACTAATGTTACTCATAAATCGCAGTTCCTGTATATTACTCTTTTAATTACTACTTCATTCTCAAAAAAAATATTAATATAGGTTCACAAATACTAATTACCACAATATTGTAGCTAAAACACCAGAAAATTGGACAAAATCAGCGACTATAAAAATGCCGGGAGCACAAAAACAATGGTGCATGCTTGTAAGGAGAGCGGATGAAACCAGCTGATTTGTAGCATCACTGTAATTGGGTAATAATGACAGTTCTGCCCGAAAGGCATTACTGCACAAAACTTTTATGAACGGTCATTCTGGTGTCATCACCTCTGACAGTGTCACCGGCTGCGCTCTGCACCCTCGCACCCTCCTAGTGATGTCACTGTTGGGAAGGGTATGGTTGAGTGAAATTAGCAAGTGTGAGAGGTGGAAGAGAAATAATGGTACCAAACGGAAACTTTCTCTTTGGTGAAATTTGAAAGACCAAAAGAGATGGGAAACAGAGGAACATTCTCATGGGTTGAGTCTTGATTATTTGATGCTTTGTGAAGGCCCTCGTGGTGCCTCCCACACCCCCGGGAACACTGGTGTTGACCTGTTACAGATTGAATTATGTCTCCCAAAAATGTGTGTTGTAAATCCTAACCCCTGTACATGTGAGCCCTGGTGATGCAGGGGTTAAAATCTCGGCTGCTAACCAAAAGGTCAGCAGTTCGAATCTACCAGCTGCTCCTTGGAAACCCTGTGGGGCAGTTCTACTCTGTCCTGTAGGGTCACTATGAGTCAGAATTGACTGGATGGCAATGGGCTTGTTTTTTGTTTTGTTTTTTTATCCTTGTGGAAGTAATTCCATTTGGGAATAGATTTTTGTTATGTTAATGAGGTCATATTAACATAACAAAGGATGTGTGTTAAACCTCATCTTTGAAATATAAAAAGAGCAGGTTAAGAACAGAGAAGGAACTACAAATGGAGGGGAAAACACATGCTATTTAAAGATCACCAAGGAATGCCAGAGAAACTGACAAGGATTTTCTACTAAAGTGGAGAAAGAGAGCCTTCCTCTAGAGCTGCTGCCTTGAATTCGGACTTCTAGCCTCCTAAACTGAGAAAACAAATTTCTGTTTGTTAAAGCTATCTTCCTGTGGTATTTCTGTTATAGCAGCAGTAGGAAACTAAGACAGAATTTGGTACTGAGAGTGGGGTGCTGCTCTAACAGACACCTAAAATCTGGAGTGGTTTTGGAATTGGGTAATCAGTAGGAGTGGAAGGATTTCTTTTTTTTTAAATAATATTTTATTGTGTTTTTGGTGAAAGTTTATACAGCAGTTTAGGTTCCCATTCCACGGTTTCTACACAAATTGTTCAGTGACATTAGTTACATTCTTCACGTGTGAACATTCTCATTGTTTCCATTCTGGTTGTTCCATTTCCATTAATCTAGTTTCCTTGTCCCTTACATTCTCATCTTTGTTTTAAAGTAAGTGTTGACCATTTGGGAGGGTGGAGGAATTTTGAGATGCTTCATAGTAAGGCCCTAGTTTACCTTGAAGAGACTGTTGGTAGAAATATGGACATTAATGGTGATTCTGATGAGAGCTCAAAAAGAACTGAGAGCTGTGACGAAAGCTTCCATCGTCATGAACAGAGTGTTGCTAGATATATGGACATTAAATGTGCCTCTGGTAAGTCTTTAAAAGGAAATGATGAGCGAAACTGGATTTCCTCATGCAGAAAAATGAAACAAGGTCCATACCTCATGCCATACACAAAAACTAATTGAAAATGGATTAAGGACCTAAATGTTAAATCTAAAACCATAAAGCTCTTGGAAGAAAATATAGGAGCAAAGCTTTGGAATGTAATTTTTTTTCAGTGATAGATTATTAAACATAGCAACCAATGCACAAGCAACAGAGAACAAAATAGAAAACTGGGGCCTCATAAAAGTTAAATACTTATGTTTATCAAAAGATTTTATTAAGAGAGTAAAAAGACAAACTACAGACTGGGAAAAATCTTTGGGAACAATATAACTGATAAATGTCTAATACGTAAAAGATACAGAAAACTTCTACAACTTAACAATAAAAAGACAAATAACCCCGTACAAAAACTGGGCAAAGGACATGAACAGACTTCACCAAAGAGGATATTCAAAAGGCCAACAGACACATGAAAAGATGCTCAATGTCATTGGCCATCAGAGAAATGCAAATCAAAACCACAATGAGATACCATTTCACTCCCACTGAGATGGCTAAGATTTAAAAAAAACAAAACAAAAACAAAATAACAAGTGTTGAAGGGGAAGTGGAGAAATTGGAATCCTCATTCTTTGCTGGTGAGAATGCAAAATGGTACAGTCGTTGTGGAAAACAGTCTGGTGGTTCCTCAAAAAACTAGAGGTAGAGCTGCCATATGACCCAGAAATTCCACTCCTAGGTATATACCCTAGTGACCTAATAGAAGTGACATGAACAGACATATGCACACCTGTGTTCATTGCAGCACTATTCACAATAGCAAACAGATGGGAACAACCTAAGTGGCCATCAATAGATGAGTGGATAAGTAAAATGTGATACATGCATACAATGGAATACTACTCAATGATAAAGAAAAATGAGTTCCCAAAACATCTTACAATGTGGATGAACCTGGAGGACATTATATTGAGCAAAATAAGTCAATTACAAAAAAAAAAACCAAATACTGTATGTTCTCACTTCTATGAAATGACATGAATAGGTAAATGGACTAGGAGAATGGGACCACCTAAAGCTGAGGGAGCAGAGTTGCTGTTCCAGTGGGCCTGGAAGGTGGGCTGACTCCCAGGGACATGGGGCCTCCACTCAGAATCTAGAGATCAGGCCAACACCCTCGATCCATTTTTAAGAGATGGACTTAAAAAATGAACTGTGCAAAATGAAACCAGAACTTAAAGATTTGGAGGGTGGTGCCATTACCCAGATAGTCCTGGAGAACAGATGATTATTTTCAAGTGTTGAGAGCTAATGTAATTTGCTTTATTGGGTTTTGGACTTGTTTGGTGCTTGTTATGGATTGAAATGTGTCCCCCAAAAATGTGTGTCAACTTGGCTAGGCCATGATTCCCAGTATTGTGTGGTTGTCCACCATTTTGTCATCTGATGTGATTTTCCTATGTGTTGTAAATCCTACTTCTATGATGTTAATGAGGCAGGATTAGAGGCAGTTATGTTATTGAGGCAGGACTCAATCTACAAGATCAGGTTGTGTCTTAAATCAATTTCTTTTGAGACATAAAAGAGAGAAGCAAGCTGAGAGGTGGCGGGACTTCATGCCACCAAGAATGAAGAACCAGGAGGGGGGCGTGTTCTTTGGACCCGGAGTCCCTGTGCTAGGAAGCTCCCTAGACCAGGGGAAGATTGATGACAAGGACTTCCCCTGGAGCTGGCACCCTGAATTCGGACTTCTAGCCTTCTAGACTGTGAGAGAATAAATCTCTGTTTGTTAAAGGCATCCACTTGTGGTATTTCTGTTATAGCAACACTAGATAACTAAGACAGTGCCCGTGAGCCCTTCTTTCCCTCCAATTTCTCCCATGTGTAATGAAAATGTCTATCCTGTGTTTGTCCCGTCATTGTACTATGGAAGCAGATAACTTGTGTTCTAGGTTTCACAGGTTCACAGATGGAGAGGAATTTTGCCCCAGGATGGAATACCCCGAACAAAGTATCACCCATACTTGATTTAGATGATTTAGAGGATGATATTTTGGACTTGATTTAAGATGTTTAGGGTGGTGCGATAGTGTGAATGTGTTTTGTATGTGGGAAGGGTATGAATTTGGAGGGGGCCAAAGGGTGGAATGTGATGAATTCAGTTGTGTCACCCAAAAATATGTGTTATAAATCCTAACCCCTATACTTGTGGATGTAAGAGCTGAAGAGGAGAAAACAAACTTCTGGAACTGAATAAACTCACTTCAGGCCCCCTGTGTCCCTTGACAGAGATCCTGTGTGGCAAAAATGCTTAACACACATGACTGGAGGTTTGAGTCCACCCAGAGGTGCCTTGGAAGAAAGGCCTGGTGCTCTTTCCAGACAATCAGCCATTGAAAGCCCTACGGAGCACAGTTCTACTCTGACACACACGGGGTCACCATGAACTGGAATCAACTCAATGGTAACTGGTTTACTGGTTTTGCCCCCTGACAAGCTGTGTTGGGGTACAGTTGCCCCCTGAGAGCCCCTGGGACCCTCTTGCAGTGTGGGCTTGGGCACAGGGCAGAGAACAATTACTCACCCACTGGCAGGTCTTCGGCCAAGGTCACTACTGTCATATTCTGCTGGAAAATCGGGGCCGTGTTGGCTGCCACTACAGGGAGACAGGGCACTGGAACATCAGGACCCCCTGCAACAGCTGACCCCCCACCTGCCTCTCCAGAGCCCACTCTAGTGCCAACCCTCTACCCCAGCTCAACCACTTAGACCTGGATCCTTCCCCAGGCTTCCCGGGGCAGCCAAGCACAGGGCTGGGCCATAGAAGCTCAGCGTTTATTGATGAGCGATCACCCCACCCCTTCAGAAGGATCCTGCCAAGGGTCCCCAATCTAGTGCTACTCTGGTGGGGAAGGGGAGACACCCACCAGACACCACGAGGGCAGGAAGCAGGATGCAGGACAGCCACGGCCATGCCATCACGTCTGGAGGGACCTAGGAGAGGAAGTTTCAGGGAGGGGTGCCCAGACCTGGGCCTCCCCCCATTTGTCAGGCACTCGTTTGTCTAGGCCTGCCCCTCAGACCCGTCCACCACCACCAATTAGTAATTCCCACAGGGCCTCTGCTTGGGTCATGCAGGCTTATCACTCTCTGTATGTTTTCCAGATGTTCCGGGGGTGGGAGAACCTAGTGGCGTGGGTAGACAGCTAAGCCCAGTCCTGAACCCCAACCTCAGACTGAACCTGAACTTGACTCCAGCATTCTGCACCTACTGCATGCCGAGCACTATTCCAAGCAGGTTAGTTGCATTATTTCATTATTCCTACACTATGACGTGGTTGTTGTCATCATCCCATTCTACAGATGTGGAAACTGATTAAGGGGCTTGCCTGAGGCCACACTGAGAACCAGTGACAACAGTGCACTTTGAACACAGGTCTTTTGGACTCCAGAATGCATTCCCTCGACCACTATATTATCCTGCCTGTTTGAAATGTCCACACTGATAGCATACTTCAAAATCAGGGAACAGGAGAGGGACCGTGGCGGGAACAGGATCATCCAGAGACTTCCTGGGTGAGCCAGGGTCCTTTGTTCTACTTGCTGACACATTTAATAGCTGCCACTGCAACCTTTCTTAAAGTGTGCTCCATGAAGCCCTCGCCCGGGAAGATGCCCCACGGCAGAAGGGTTCCCTGGTCCAGTAAGATTGGGAAGGGTTGTAGACTCTGTGCCCTTCTTGGTAATTCAGAGCTAGGCAGGGACCCTCGGCTTTTTGGCCATCTCACGTTGCAAGCTGTCCTTCTCTGATTCATTGTCACGGAGAGATCTTAAACCCCAAGTCTTTTTCATCTGCAAAGACAACTGATATAAACCACAACTAAGAAAGAGGGAGAGCAGCATGAGTTATTCAAATGTTTTGTTTCTCGTCTTCTGCCAAGAAAGTGTTTTTCATGCTTGCTACTCTGTGGAAGCAGAGTCAAGAATTCAAACGACGTATTGCATTGGGCAAATCTGTGCAAAAGACCTCCTTAAAGTTTTAAAAAGCAAACATGCCACTTTGATGACTAAGATGCACCAGACCCAAGCAGCGGTCTCTTCAATCGCCTCATGCATGCGAAAGTTGGCTAATGAAAAAGGAAGACAGAAGAATTGATGTGTTCGAACTGTGGTGTTGGCAAAGACTTTTGAATATACTCTGGACTTCCAGAAGAACAAACAAATCGGTCTTAGACGTAACACATTTAGAATGCGCCTTAGAAGCCAGGAAGGCGCGACTTCGACTGGCTTACTTGGGACACATCATCAGGAAGGACCAACTGCTAGAAAAGGACATCATGGTTGGTAAAGTAGAGGGTCAGCGAAAATGAGGGAAGCCCTCAATGAGATGGATTCACACAACAGCTGCATAAATGGACTCAAACATAGTAACAATCCGGAAGATGGCGCAGGACCGGGCAACGTTTCGTTCTGTTATGCATAGGTTCACCATGAGTTGGAGGTGACTTGACAGCAACTAACAACAACAACAACCCCGTAATAATTCTATTAAGACAGGGATTGACAAACTTTTTCTGTAAAGGGACAGATAGTAGTTTAGTCTTGTGGATCACACAGTCTCGTTAGCAACTACTCGACTCTGCTGTCGCAGGCCGAAAGCAGCCATAGACAATATGGAAAAGAATGGACAGGGCTGTGCTCCAATAAAACTTTATTTATGGACACAAAAATTTGAATTTCATATAATTTTCGTAGATCACAAAACGTTATCTTCTTTTAATTTTTTTTCCCCACCATTTAAAAATGTAAAAACCATTCTTAGCTCTTGGGCTGCACAGAGGTAGGCAGCAGGCCAGATTTGGCCTGCAGACCACAGTTTGCTGACCCCTGTCCTTCTGTCCTCAGAATGAGAGGAGAGGAGCAATGATTGCAGGTCACCACTGGCACGCATCCCAGGTATGAATAGAGAATTAGGTCTCCTTCCTTTCTTGTCCCTGGGGGAGATCTAGACCCAGATCTTGACCAGCAACCCCTCCTATGGGGCTGGGGGTGTCTTTACTGCTCAGATATTTGAAGCAATTGAAGGAAAAGAAGCCTCATCAGCAGAGGACAGAAAAGCAGTGGGATGAAGTCCAATCACTGCTTAATAGTCACTTGAGTAAAATATAAAAGGAACTTTGTTGGAAACTCACTTCTGCCTGGAGATATCATTCTTTTAAGGGTTAAGAACGTTTCTGAACCAATGAAGAAAGGGTCCAGCAAAGTCTTTCTTCAAGAATTCCCCTAAAGCAACAATGGGTAATGGCCCATTAAAGGTACTGACAAGTTCTGCAGGGGAGAGGTCTATTTACAACCTGATGTTTCTGACTTATTTGACTTCAGGAGGCTTTCTTGGCATTGGGCCACATGTGTGGTACTGAATGCATTTTGAGAAACTGCATTCTAGTGGACTGTGCATGTCTCTGTCTTCCCAGAGCTGATCAACTCTTGTTTCATTTCATTTGAACAACTATTATTTACTTTCTAGGTTCTGAGCATTGTGGTCTGTGTGGTAGCAGAGCTGTGGGAGCGTCTCATCCATCTGGGGAGCCAGGGTGGGCATCTCATTGGAAGGCACACTTAGGGGGGGTTCTGAAGGAAAAGTAGGAGTTTTCCCAGTCGACGTGAAGGGAAGGGACTTCCAGGTGGAGGGGCCAGCGTGTGTGAAGGTGCAGAGGCCTAACAACTCATGCCTTCCTTATTCAGGAAAATGCAGCAGATGTGGCCAGAGGCCCCATGGTACATGGTCAGCTAGGCCGAGAGGAGGTTGGGAAGGCCTTGGTGTCAAGCCGAGGGACTGGGCTTGATCTTGTAGATTTTGGTGGAATATCTCCCAGCATCCCACACCACTCCGAGGGAACCAATGCCTTCATTTCCTGAGAGAGGACCCCTTTCCCAACTCTGGGGCCTCAAAGTCAAAGCTGGAACAGGTAAATCCTTATCTCCTTTGACTTGGAATCAGAGAGGGCAAGGAACAGTGAGTGTCCTGGATAGAGGGTCTGACTGGGCTGGGATCATCTGTGATTCAGCCAGTCTGGCTCTGAGTCTGGGCAACTCCCTGCCTTCTCTGGGCTGTTTCCTCCTCCATAACCAGAGCACATCCTTTAGACCTGAGGTTCCTGCACTGAGATGCTTCCAGATCAAGGGAAGACTGATGCATCACAAGAACCTTCCTTCTGATAGACAGAGAAAGCCTTCTTCTGGAGCTGATGCCCTGAATTTGGACTTGTACCCTCCTAGACTGTGAGAAAATAAATTTCTCTTTGTTAAAGCCATCCACTTGTGGTATTTCTGTTATAGCAGCACTAGATGACTAAGAAACTCAGCCACAAAGAGAAACGAAGTTGACTTGAAATCATTATGCTGAGGCAAGTAAGTCAATCACAAAAGGACAAATATTGCATGATCTCACTTATATGAAATAGGCAAATGCATAGAAATCCAAGTTTAATAGTGGTTACCAGGGGCAGTAGGGAGGGGGAGGGGGGAACAATCGTTTAGGAAGCAGAGTTTCTGTTTATGGGATGGGAAATTTGACAATGGATATTGGTGATGATTGTATAACATGATTGATATAATTAGTGTCATTGAAGTGTATACCTGAAAAATGTTGAATTGGCAAATGTGTTTTATATATATTCATATTTATTAATTTACAACAATAAAAAAAGAGAAATGAAGTTTTGATACATGCTACGACATGGATGAACCTGGAAAACATCACGCCAAGTGAAAGAAGTACAAAAGGACAAATACTGTATGATCCCACTTATAGGAAATATCTACAACAGGGAGATGTACAGAGACCAAAGTTCAGTAGTGGTTACCAGAGACTGGGGAGAGGGAGCAACGGGGAGTTATTGCTTAAGGAGCACTGAGTCTCTGTTTGCAGAATGAACTATTTACTTTGGAAATAATGGTAGCACAAGTGGTGAGTGTAATTAATGTCACTAATTTCACACTTACAAATGGTTAAAATGGCAATTTTTGTGATTATATATATTTTAACCACGATTTTTTTTTTTTTTTTAAATGACAAGCACACATTCCTTCTGATCCAGCATTTCCACTTTGAGGATTTTATCCTTCACATGTGAAATGATATGTGTAGAAAGTCAGTCACTGCAGCATGGTAGAACATAACACAGGGTGGAAACAAGCTAAGTGTCCATTAATAAGAAACAGATTAAATAATGTATGATCCATACACAGAATGAAGTACTATATAGCTGTAAAAAGGACAGATCTGTATGTGCTGATACCGAATGATCTCTAAGTCATACCTTAGGTGAAACAAAGTACAGAGCACAGCATGTGGTGTGCTAGTATGTACACAAAAAGACAAGAACACACATTTGCTTTTATGTGCTCAGAGTATCTCTGGAAGAACGCACAAGAAGCCAGTCTCTTATGAGGAGGGCTGGATGGCTGGGCATGGGGAAGGAGGACTTTTCACTGAATACTCTTTTGGAGCTTTTGGATTTTGTACTAAGTGAATGTATAAACTTTCCAAAAAGAAATTAAATTAAAACTTTAAAGGAAACAAACGGATACCTCTTCCTGCCCCCCCCCACCCACCCATGTCCCTTTCCCTTCTGCCCCAGCACATCTGAAGCAAGTGGCCATTTTCCAAAGGACTCTGGCTCCAAAGCTATGGAAGAATCAAGAGAGAATGACCTTAATCCATGGCAAACCCCAGAGGATAGGGGTCTCCGAGGGGCAGACGTGTGGAGCCTGAGAGAGAGATAGGTAGAGATGGATAGGTGGATGGATAGGGATGAATGAATGGATAGATAGAAGGATGGATAGGGATGGGTGGATGGAAGGAAGGAAGGGTGGATGGATAGAGAAAAAGGCTTCCAGAGCTGAACCTTGACCCTAACACAGTGTCAAAACCAGAAATCTCTCCCTCTCAAATCCAGAACCCACCCCCACCCTGAGTTCTCACCTCAGGG